CCCCCACTCTCAAACCCTCCCATCTCTCTCACTCCTGATCTGTGCCCAGGCTGTCTGGCCCCCATCCCTCCAGTCCCCTGATCTGTAGGCTGTCTCTGCCCCCATCCCCCCGCTCCCTGATCTGTAGGCTGTCTCTGCCCCCATCCCTCACTCCTCTGATCTGTAGGCTGTCTCTGGCCCCATCCCTCACTCCTGATCCTGTAGGCTGTCTCTGCCCCCCAGCCTCACTCCCCTGATCTGTAGGCTGTCTCTGGCCCCCCATCCCTCACTCCCCTGATCTGTAGGCTGTCTCTGGCCCCCATCCCTCACTCCCCTGATCTGTAGGCTGTCTCTGCCCCCCCATCCCTCACTCCCCTGATCTGTAGGCTGTCTCTGCCCCCCATCCCTCACTCCCCTGATCTGTAGGCTGTCTCTGCCCCCCCATCCCCCACTTACCTGATCTGTAGGCTGTCTCTGCCCCCCATCCCTCATCTGTAGGCTGTCTCTGGCCCCTATCCCTCCTCCTGATCTGTAGGCTGTCTCTGCCTCCCCATCCCTCACTCCTGATCTGTAGGCTGGCCTCCTGCCCCCATCCCTCACTCCCTGATCTGTAGGCTGTCTCTGCCCCCATCCCTCACTCCCTGATCTGTAGGCTGTCTGCCTCCCCATCCTCACTCCCCTGATCTGTAGGCTGTCTCTGCCCCCCATCCCTCACGCCCCTGATCTGTAGGCTGTCTCTGCCCCCCATCCCTCACTCCCCTGATCTGTAGGCTGTCTCTGCCCCCCATCTCTCACTTCCCTGATCTGTAGGCTGTCTCTGGCTGCATGTGTTGCTCCCCTGCGGTTTCAATCAGCAGAGAGAAGCAGGGATAAGATGCAGCTTCCTATCCCTGTCTCTCTCCATACTGGCCGGCGCCGGTATTGCAGTTCATTTTAAATCACACAAAATAGCAGAACAAGCTGAAAAATCCAGGGGGGGGGGCAAGTGCCCCCCCTTTCCCCCCCCTGCGGACGCCCATGAGGGAGGACATGGGGGGGTTAGGAAGTGGCGGGGAGCACTGCTCCCTGCCGCTTCTATAGTTACATGTTACAAGGAGGGAGCTGCGCGCCAGTAGCTCCCTCCTTGTAATACACTAAACAAACGAACAAACCCTGATATTCAGTGTTTGTTTGTTCGTCTAAAATTCCTAGTCATTCATTTGTCTTTCTGATGAATGAATGAATAGATTAAATTCCCATTCGCAGGCCCAGGTGTTTAACTGGGCATGTGCGGGAATCTCAGTCTGTCTAGTGTGGGCAGATGACGTGTCCCACAGGGACTTCCTCTACCCACATAAAGATGGCGGCACCCTCAATATAGATCGGGCATAAAATAAAGATTAAAAATAGGTAATATGGGGGGCTTAGGGACATTTGGGGGTGACTAAGGGGTCAATTAGATGTAGTGGAGTCGGAAGGGGGGTTAAAAAAAAAACCAGGATTCGCCCATGACAGTGCCGCTTTAATAATTGTCAATATTTGCTTGGTAAGTAGTGAAACTCCCTACACTGCCCCTTTATTGCTTGCCTTAATATGTTTGCTCTGTTTAATAAACTTTGAACTTTCTTTGCATTGACTCCTTTGTCTCGTCTAATCATTGTTTGTTTCACAAATACTTGTGGCATGGCTTGGTCTGGATAGAAATGAAAAGTCCATGGCAGTAGAGGTCTGGTGATCACAGGAGCTGTTCCAACAATGGAGGATCTCATGAAAAATGGAATGTTTTCTAGATGTTCTTCAATATTTCTTTTGTTGGTTTAAATTCCAGAGAGGTGGCAGTTCCTCTTTAAAGATTTAGCAAATTACAAGACATTCCAGGCACTGTCGGGGTACATATTGCAAATAAAGAGGAAAAGCAGAAACATTTTGAGGTTCCTCCTCTTTTTATCTATGCTAACTAACTGGTGCAAAAGGCAGAGTTTATAACAATGATTGACAGAGAATCAAATGTGGGTGCCTAGTTGTAGTTAGCTTAGGTGTGGGCAGCCCATTTCATTAAGGTGCCAACCGTGAAATCCCCCCCTATGTTATTTTTTTAATGTTATGTAATGTAATTATTTATTCAAATGTTGAGTAGATGTGTGGTGTGGGTGTGTGTCTAGTATAGATCGAGGGTGGCGGTAAGTGTTTAGCTGAGTGTAAAGTGTGTGTTGTGGTGTCCTGTGTGTGATATACAAGGCTGGCTGCAATGTGTGAGTGATGTGGGTGGATGCATGTGGGTAGCTGCGTGAATAGCTTTGAGTGTTGCGTGTGACAATGTGTGATATGTGTATAGTTGTAAGTATTGTGAATTGCTGTGTATGGGTAACTGTGTAAGTTGCTGACAGAGCTGTACTTGGAGATAGAATAGATCTAGGCATTTTATAGCACAGTAGCCCACTTTCACAACTTTTTTATTTCAGATTCGATATTATTTAAAAGACCTCACTAACCCACACAAGTATACACATACAGAGACTTCATTTAGTCATGGAAGTGTTCATTTAGAGATGCTCACAGATGCACACATAAAAAAAAAAAAAAACACACACAGATACATGATACAACCTCACATTCACATATAGAGACACATTCACACAGATACTTATGATAAATACATAAGGACACACACAAATATTTATATACAGATACACACTCACGTATAAATAAATACAGACATAAATGGTTGCATATTCATGAATACCTACATCAAGACACACAAATACACACATACACTCAGAAACATATTCACATGTATGCATGAAGATGTACTCACAGATACACATATACACACATCAATACCCACTCGCAGATAAACATTCAGTCACACATGCAGACACACTCACAGATACACATTCAGTCATACATGTAGGCTGGACTCAAAATTTCAAATTATTATTAGGTAGGGGATAAGGGCTATAATGGAAAAAGATGCAGTATAAGGGCAGTAGTGGGGGCATGAATATATAGTGGAAGGGCTAGGGGCTGTTCTGGGGGCTTAGGTAATGTAGTGTATGGATAAGGGGCAGTAGTAGGGGTTAGAAGCAGTATTGGGGATAAGAGTGTTCTAAAACAGCAGAGGGAGCAGAGGACATGTCCTGAAGTACAGGCCAAGTTCTCCCTCCTCCACCTTGGATCATGGGCCGTTTGCGGTCATGGCTTGGCTACTCGAGGAGGGAACTCAGCGCCGATCAGGTAAACCTTTTAATCTCCGTGCCGGCATGTTTAGCAGTCAGCACTTCAGCTGCATTAGGCTGTGCCTAGGCATACCCCGTGTGCACGCCTATGATAGTGAGATGTGGATCTCTACATTTAATAATATTTTTAAGACCTTGCAAACATATATTTAAACATAGGCTATCAGTAAACAATATTCAAAATACTGAAGACATGGAATGTTGAAGCAAAATCAGTGATATTTTCAAATGATTTATTACCTGAAAGAAATACAAAAAGTTAAAGTAATACATCCACTTACATGTCAGCTTACATAGGAAGTCCTACAGATATCTAAAAAGTTACCGGGTAAACATTCTTTTATATTGTGTGTGTGTATAGCAATACATTTAATATTAGCAATAAAAGAAACCTAACGTGATTACTGTTACCACTGCAAATTAAAAGCCATAACTTTCTGTCTCATAGTACTCATGCTCTGTAATATATGTACTATGAAAAGAAAAAAAACACTTATTTAAATACTTTATTTCAATGATTTTATTACCTGTAATAAATGTATTGATGCTTTCTTTATAAATATCATAATGTTTAGTTTTTTTCAACGATTATGAGACATTTCTTGATACAGGTAGCATATTACACAGCCTCTGAAAAAAATGTCTTCAGGCTTATTCATTAAATGATAAATTGACATAAATTCACCAGGGAAGGCCAAAATAGCTGATATGTCCAGAAACAGAGCAGACATAGAGAATTTTTCCACTTTACTTATTTTGGCCTAAAAATAGCAATTCACTGGTGAATTCCAATACCAAATGATTTAGTGAATAACTCTGTTATGCTCATAAAGCTGGTACATTGACTTTGAAAAAATACAATAGATACAGCAAGGTTATTCCATTTACTATTTAGAAAGAAAATAACATTGAACCCTTTTTTGAAGCAAAATAATTAAGCTGGGGTAAGTATGGGAGCTGGTGTTCCCCAAAATGCTCTTGTCTTTTCCTCTGAAACCTATTTATATGCTTATATTGAAATTCAAAGCAGATATATGTGTGAATTTACTCTGAAGGGAAATGTATTCAAGGTATCTGCCAATGGAGCAAGTGTATAAAAATTGTATTAAAGTGTTGATCAGCCTTCCAAAAAAAGATAATATACTGTTTAAAGGGACACTATAGTCCCCTGAACAACTTTAGCTTAATGAAGCAGTTTTGGTGTATAGAGCATGCCCCTGCAGCCTCACTGCTCAATCCTCTGCCATTTAGGAGTTAAATCACTTTGTTTATGAACCCCAGTCACACCTCCCTGCATGTGACTTGCACAGCCTTCCATAAACACTTCCTGTAAAGAGAGCCCTATTTAGGCTTTATTTATTGCAAGTTCTGTTTAATTAAGATTTTCTTATCCCCTGCTATGTTAATAGCTTACTAGACCCTACAAGAGCCCCCTATATGTGATTAAAGTTCAATTTAGAGATTGAGATACACTTTTTTAAGGTAAATTACATCTGTTTGAAAGTGAAACCAGTTTTCTTTTCATGCAGGCTCTGTCAATCATAGCCAGGGGAGGTGTGGCTAGGGCTGCATAAACAGAAACAAAGTGATTTAACTCCTAAATGACAGTGAATTGAGCAGTGACATTGCAGGAGAAAGATCTATACACTAAAAATTTTTTATTTAGCTAAAGTAATTTAGGTGACTAGTGTTCTTTTAACTGTTTTTTATATCTTAGCCTCTAGAAAATAATTTTGTTTCTTCCAACCCTTAGATATAGTTACAAGAAAGTGATTTTACACAATTATGTACTTTCATGTCTGTCACTTAGACCTGTGTTGGCGGCTGTCCATTTTCACCAGCATTGCGAAAGCTTCCATGATTTGTGGTAGCACGAAATGTATAGGAATGTCCCCGGAGTGACCCATCAGCTTGACTGCTCTTTAGTTTGTCCTTACAACCAAAAAACATGAGGAATCCATTTCTATAGTTTTTATTCATCCATCCATAGAGTAAAGGATTTGCAAAAGTGGAGCACATTGCAATTACATGAAATATGGTATAGAGAAGCTTGTACTCATGGAAAACCAAAGCCCAATCCAAGTCGATGGCCAACTGGAATATATGGAATGGTAGCCAGCAAACTGCAAATACTACCACCATCATCACAAGCATCTTGGTGGTGTTTTTTCTTCGTAGCTCATTGTCACTCCTGGGTGTTGGGCTGATGTGATTCTTCAGCTTAAACCATATTCTGATGTAGGCGTAGCAAATTACAGCAAGTGGTAGGACATACTGTAGAATAAGCATTGATAAACTGTAAATGGTTGCATCCCGACTATTATTTGAGGGCCATTTTTCAGCACAGACTGCAATCTTTAGGTTGATATATGGTAGGTCCTCATACCTATATTCTCTAAAAATAGCAAGTGGTATAGCAAAGACACCAGCTGCCAACCATGTAACAGTAATAGTTAAAAAACTGAATTTCTTAGAGATTCGACTGCTGAGGTGGAAGACAATGCACCAATACCTGTCCAAAGCAATTACCATCAAGGTAAGAGTGGAGACATTAACACTCATAGCTTGAGCATAAGGAAACAAATGGCACAAAACTAACCCAAATTTCCACTCATCCATTAATGTGTACACCAGAGTAAACGGCAGACAGAGGCTGTCCACCATCAGGTCAGCAACTGCTAAATTGGCTATGAAAAAGTTGGTTACAGTCCTCATATTTTTGTATTTTATTATCATGTAGATGACTAGGGAGTTTCCAACAAGGCCAAGGAGAATAATCAAGGCATAAGCTGCAATGAGGATGGCTTGAACTCCCAATATCTTGGTACTGTCCATCATAATGCTGCTGGCACCATGAAGATTTTGATATGGTGAGTTCATGATTTTTGAATGCCATCCTTGCATGATCAGGTCTTCTGTTCTGTTGACTTGCGTCATAGACCCCATCATGTGGTTATTAATACTGTAATTTAGTTTTAATGGAACCTGATGATAAAAGAAAGAAAGAAAAAGATAAAATATATGAGTAGAAAACTAGAATGGACATTTTAGAAACTATAAGTATAACAACATACTGTGAATTTCTAGAAGAAGTATGTAAAAGTGCGGCAATCTCCATGTATAGGAGAGATGTAGAGTCAGATAGAGAGATATTACTAACAAAGAACATACCTGCTACCGCTACTAACCCCCCACCACGCATGATTGCCACCTATGATGCAGGGTGTGATAGAGTCTAATTGGGTATCCGGAAATTTGGGGCTTTCCTAACGGGAGATATACATCTCAAAAGGATTTTGGGCCCAAATATTGAAATGACAGCAAGGAAAGGTAAAAATTTGAGAGATCTCCTAGTACCGAGTCATTATCAATCACAACGACCTCAAACTCGAACCTGGCTCAATACACCTATTACGATGTGATGCCTGTAAATATATTAAACGTGACTCTAAAAGAATATCTGACAGTGGAAACAAACTTTTAACATCACCTCATTCTTTAATTGCAACACCACAGGTTTAGTGTACCTTCTTACCTGCGAAAGGTGATTGTAAATATGTAGGTAAAACTTTCCGTCCTTTTAAAGATAGGATTAAAGAACATGTCCGTTCACCTAAACTGAGTATTGAAACCCCCATTGCCCGCCACCTGAAAGAACATCATTTAGGCAAATCACATGGCTTACGTTTCTGTGGTTTAGAACTTGTAAAACGGCATAGAAGAAGGGGGGATTATGACAGATTCCTAACACAACGGGAACGTTTCTGGATTTAGAGGCTTAAGACCCCACAACCTAGAGGACTGAATGAAGGTTTTCAATTGCACCATTTATTTAGTTCACACTAACCACCTTTTTTAGTAGTGTCAAACCTAGTACTTATTTGCTGAAATAGGGGTACGTGACTAAGCAACAGACTGCTCTATCTATATAGGTCTGCTCTTTTACTACACAATGGATCTAAAATATTGTGTGGGATCTGGATTTTATATACAACAGTAGAATGGAAGAACATAAGTAAAAAAATATTGTAAACATAATACAACATAAAATAAGTCTACTATTTTTTTCATAAAATGTTCAGACACTGGCTGTTTTAATTATACATTAACAACATATATCTGCAAACTTGCACTCTTTTGAATACAGACACTTTTTGCTCAGACGATTTTGTTCTTATGAACTATATACATTTACTTTAAACCTCACTCTTAGGGATTTCTTGAATCATAGGCATGGAAGGGGTTAATTTCCTCATGCCAATAAGGTTGGCTGTCATTCACCTCTCTGGCCTCGCCCATAATTTGGGCCATCTGACATACATCATGACGTCACACTTTGTGATGGGCTGGCTTATGAAGGTTTAAAAAGAGGCGCCAACCTCATAATCGGTTAGCTCTTGACAAAGGCGCATACTGGCGCCGAAACGCGCGTTGGGCATTACTGATATTAATATGCATTCTACTTAGAATCACTATTTAATTTATTTAGATATTTGGGTCGGGGGATTGCTCGTTTTACATCTGAGTTTGGAAGGAGATTTTTGTTGCCAACCTTAGTATGCCATATAAAGACGATTAGTTATTATCTCCAAGTATTTAACTCTTTTAGGATCTATTTACACGTATACTATATATGGAGTTTGAATTAAGAGCATTTTAGATATTCAATGCTCTGAGGGGTGTCTATATACATTAAGCAAACATTTGAGATTTTGGAGTTCTGTCCGGCCGGACCAGCTTATTCACCCCATTTTGTTGGCTTTTTTTGTATAATTTCCTTTTTTACTAACCATGGCATTGGGGTTTTGATTGAGTAAACTAGGGTGATAAGAGGTTTATAGGCTAATATTCTGGCTATATTATTGAATACGGCCTATATTGCCGTTCACTCTCTACTTTCCCTTAGTTCCCCCATACCCACATTGAATTTGGGGACCATTTGGAGTATTCCAATTGGGGGGACATTGTTATTCACCGACTAGCATTACGATTACCCTACTAGTTTGGCTTACACTGCTCCCCATATACTCCTGTATACCCTGTGCAATCTGTTGCCTCGACGGCTGATATTTCCCCCACCACCCCTGTTTTTAATAAATTTTTTTGACTGTATCCATTTCGGATCACTTTAGTAAGCAGTAATATATGTGCAGTTGTAAGCACATTGCTATATTAAAGTTTATACAAACAGTCTCCATTTTTGGGGGATACATTCTTATCTATCATTTTCTCTCTTCCACATTTTGCATAGCCGACCTACGGATACTGTATCCACTTATAAGCTACTTTTAACATTTTCTCGTAGCTGTGTCAATATTAAGTAGGAGACATGCATCTATTGTGAGCTCGGCACACATTTTCTAATATTTCTAGCTGATTGCAGACAAGGTAGCATTTGGAAGCTATTTATAATAAGCCTTTGCTAATATTTTATCTCCCAATAGCTATCCCAAGTGATTCATACTGCGTGAATGATATTGTGTGGATTGATTAATTGATGATCCTTTTTAGAATTTGGTCACTGTACATACACACTTTTTCACTTCATTTATTTTACTTTATTTTATTTTCCTCAAGAGGGATTAATAAAGATTCATATATACCATTACTAGTTTGTTTTATGCTCCATTACTGGCAACGTTTTGCAATGAATTGGCCGAGCAGATACATTTTAGGGTTTAGATTCTGATTTTGGGTGCACTGTTTTAGTTAACCCATTTCAGTTTTTCCTTTTTTGCAATCTCCATGTAAACTAATGAGTGAGCTATATCAATTAAAATAGCATATCAGGCACACTCTGCATACCTGCACGTATATATTAAGTGCATTTGAAAGTTTTTGGCTTAAATGTCATGATCTATTTTTATCTATGTTCAATCACTTTAGTATTGCTAATAAAGACAAAAAAAATCAGCTTACTGCAATGTAACTTCACCCTAATAGCCATGCCATCTTTTTCACAATGCAGTCTCCTTAATGGTGTACTCTGAGTATGTACCCAGCTCATCCAGTGAATATGACTATGTTTAGCTGCTAATATGAATTGACCCCAAAGCCAATCACTGTCCTACTATCTGCCCCTTTCTTGTTAACATGGCTTGGATGTACTGCACAAATAAGAAAAAGGGCAGTGATTGGCTGTTGGTCAGACTCAAGCCAGCAGCTCAGATAACACCGATCTCTCAAAGTTTTAGCTAGACTGCATACCTTCCAATCAGGAAGACAGGTACTCTGAGCAATCACTGTCTCTTGAGTTTAGCTTCACTGAGCTATCCAAACCAGGAAGCAACAGGATTGGTTGTCTGACAGTCAGGGCGCTGTAACAATTTAAAGTTATAAAAAAGCCAAATTCGATTGAAATCTAAACTTTTTTGTAAAATTAATAAAGCAAGCTAAAGTTCTTTACGACTCTGGCGTGTCCTTTTATGTTATTGTGCATTATTAAGACAACATCAAAAATCTCTCTGATATGCGGACTATAAAACACTTTAAGTACTGCAGTTTGTAGCCCTTTGATGCTTTAAACTGGAAAGATTTTTGTTACAGATTAATAGTTCTCATAAAAGATAATAGAATGAAATAAAAATGGTGCCTGCAGGAAATATTGCTTGTCCACTGATTCTACTATAGTTCATTACTTTCTGTAGAAGTGTAAAAGTAATAGCACTTGCATAAACACCTTTATGATAAGGTGTTAAAGGATTTTAGATTAATTCACTGAGCCTCTGTAAAAAGAAACTGCAGGGAAGACCTCATGGGACTATAGGAATATTAGTATCCCTGATTACTGTGAAACAAATAAACACCAGTGTCAGATTCCTTTGGAGTTTAAATCCAAAAACGACATTATTAATGTGCCCTCTGGTTGCGAAAGTAAAGCCACATATTTTTCCATTAACTATTTCAATGCCAGAGTGGTTTTGCATTTTGTGCATACTGGAGACCAGGTCTGTTTGTTGGGCATTTTGCGATTTCTTACTTTAAGTCATACACACAAGCTATGCAGTTACCTAAATCATTCAGAGGACATACACTGACCTTTCTTTATAGAGAAGCATTGAATCTGCTCCTTCTCTAGTAGAAACAATCATGAAGTCACCCTCCTAGCTATCTGACCGACAACTGGAAGGGTGCAACCATTGCACCTTAAGAGTGCAGATTTGTCTTTGTTGGGCACCTTCATAAAGTAAAAAAAGAGGGGAACTCTGTTAAACTCAGAAGTACTTTAACAAGCTGAAGTGCCTTAAGGTTCTAAAGTGTTCAGCATGTCTAGCTCACTTTTCAAGCTTCGAATTTTGACAGATTGATTTGCTAAGAGGACATATTTGTGATATTTTCATACTCCAATTATGCAAATTCTTTAATAAATAAAACCTCTTTTAAATGAAATGAAATTTTAAAAAATGTAAACACAAAGTATTTTGTGCGTGGAATTTTAAAACAATGAATCCAGCATGTTACTACAAATATCAATCATTTTTAAAAGGATACTATAAGTGCCAGGAATACAAAGCTGTATTCCTGGCCCTATAGCTCCCTCTGCCTCCCTTCTCCCTCGTGCCCCCTTTGCTCTGGTAAATAAAGGGTGCTAAAGCGCATGTGCGGAAAATGCTGCGCAAGCATTAGACCTCCACATAGGAAAGCATTGAATCAATGCTTTCCTATGGGGAAGAATCTGATTCTGGATGTCCTCATGCAGAGTGTGATGACGTCCAGCGTCCGATACCAGACCAAAGGTCAGTTTCGATTCAGGAAGTCCTCTAGTGACTGTCTGGTAGACAGCCACTGTAGGCAGACTTAAGGCTGCAATGTAAACATTAAAGTGCAAAAGGGACACTGCACCCCTACCAGCAATGAGCTGAAGTGGTCTGGGTGCCTACTGTGTCCCTTTAAGGTCAACACCCTAGAAAATTGTTGGATTAAACGTTGTTATCTGATATATAAAT